AAAAAAAAAAAAAAAAAAAATGAAAACAACTGATTGAAACCGAGATTTGATTTTATCCATGTCTTAATCCTGCTGAGTTCTTCCCATCATTTTCGACCATAATGACAATTTTATATTGAAGTATTATAATGAGACTAAAGATGTCTAATAATAGATAATGTGTTCTAACAACTAAAGATTGCACAAAAGTAATTGTGCAAAGGACTTTGCCACGTTTTTTTTTAAATTGTATTCATTTAAATTAATTTTTGTACACCGTTTATTCATATTATCGTTAAAAAATTGTCCAAGTTAATTTCAAAGGATTGATATATACTTCTTAAAATATATAAAGTCTTTTAATTTGTCGGTATGTTAAAATTCAAGGTTCGCAGCAAGGTCAAGATATTCAGAACAAAATCTAGGTCCAATAGGTTTCTAAAACATTCCACGTTGTTTAAAAACTGTCAAATTCAAAACGGAAACAACCTGGCGCAAACTGCATTTATAAGATAGACCATAATTTAAAAGAATTGGTATAATTAAAAAAAAAAAAAAAAAAAAGAAAGGAAAAGAGGAGAAAAAAGAACGTAAAGAGCACTCACGATCCACGCTCGTCCCGAAGTCTGATTCCGTTTCCATTGGGGCTCTTCGAAGTACCGACATAAAAGTAGGCAGCTGAAAGGAGATAATTATAATTGCAGCTTTCGCTGATTGCTGAACGAGTTATTGGCTAATTACTTAATTTCAGACACTCGGCCGATCATCCGATACGGCGGCCAGTTCGCCGCAACGAATCGGTCTCCCTCGAAATTGCAATCGCGACATAACCATCGTGTTTTATTCTTTTGTCGTTCATTTTCTGGGTCGTTTGGGAACTTCAGCGGCGAGTACACGCTTACGTTCGTGGCGCATAGGAGAGGGAGAACGCTTTCGATTTTATTGAGTCGTAGCATATAGAAAAGTGAGAGTGGCGTACGAGTCGAAAGAGAGAAGTAGGAGTTATACCTTTTACGGTCGCGATTAACTTCGCTATCTTTAAACGTACGTCGTTTCGCGTTATGCATACGCGATTTAAGAAATTC